ATTTCACCTCACTCCAGAAAGAATGGCTGCTATCATGAAATCAACCAATAACAAATGCTGGCGGGGCTGTGGGGAAAGAGGAACACTGTTCCACTACTGGTGCAAGTGTAGACTGGTGCAACCAATGTGGAAATCAGTATGGAGATACTTCAAAGAACTAGGACTGGAAGTTCCATTTGACCCAGCTATTCCTCTGCTGGGTATCTTCCCCAAAGAATTAAAAGAATCATAGCACAGTGATATATGCACTTTTGCTTTCAAAGAAAAGTGACAGTTAACAGAGGATTGATGATCAAATATATGATATTCAAATTTACACAATTTAAAATAATGTTAAAAATCACAAGAGTGTGATACATATGTAATAGCCATTTTAATCATTTGAACACAATATTACATACATGCATACTTTTGTCTGGTCTTGGTAAAAGGCCCAACCTCAGAGGGCCACAGTTTAATGTGACCACATTGGTCAAATTGTGAAGTCCCACATCTACCAGGAGGGAGGCAGAGTTATCTTTTTTTATTCGTGGTAAACCGCAGTGTCAAAGCGAGGAGGGTTGATGAAGCCCTCAAGGCAGGCCGAGTGAATGGGCTGTGGACTCAAGAACTGCCAGGAACGACAGGGTGGCACGGAGAAGGGGCTCACATCAGCCCCTGCCCGCAGCCTGGTGTAGGCTCAGGGCCATGCGGGATCCTCTCCCAAGGTCACCTCCACCCCCTGCCAGCTGCATGGTTAGCCTCCTCGGCCTGGCACAGCACCAGGGAGAGGCCCGGGAGACCCATCCCAGGCCGCCTCCGCCCCCGCGGGCACAGTGACCTGGGCACCCGCACCTTGATGGGCTTAGTGTTGTTGGGCTCAAGGCACTGTCCGTGCATCTCCTCCATGGCCCTGCAGGCCTGCGAGCTGCGGGCGAACTTGATGAAGGCGATGCCCTTGGACTCCTTCGTGTGCTTGTCCCGCACCACCTAGATGTCCTGGATCTCGCCGAACGGCGAGAAGCGCTCCCACAGCACCGCCTCGGGCGTGTACTTGCTGATGACCAGGAAGATGCGGCTGTTGGGAAGCTCGTCCCGGCTGTCCACGCCCGGGCGGAAGCTGCTGCCACCGCCGCCCGCCGAGCTGCCGGCCTTCTCCATCGTGCTCCACCTCGGCGCGGGCGGCGGGACCTGGTCCCTCCAGGTCCTTGCAGATTCTGCCTTGGTCTCAACCAACTCGTCGTGGGTCCGCCTCCCCCCTTCCGGAAGATGGAGAAGTCAGGCGTCAGGCGAGGTCCCATCTTAGGGATGCTGGCTTTTGGGCGGAGTTTGAAGCGCCCTCTGGCGTCTTGGGGGACCCGCACCGAGTCCGGGACCCTCTGCTGAAGCCAGGTTCAAGTTACAACTTTGTACAATCCTTGTCTTTTGCTCAGATCATCTGGCCTGAAACAAGGCTTTCCCAACCCTGGTTTTGCCTCCTAGTATTGTCCCAAGTCCAAGAATTCTTCCCCAAAACTTTCCATTGTGAATGAAGAAATTATTCATAACACTTGCTAAAGATGGCCAACTTGATTCAAGCTGTTTGGGGGGCATAGTGCTAAGTACAGGAACCACTGCAATAGGGTTTTGAAATGGGGACCATATGAGATTGGAGTCAGTTCCAACTTCAGTAAGAGTTATGGTTTGGGCCTAGATTCCTCCCGCCCGTCCCCCCCCCCCCCCCCCCCCCCCCCCGCCCCCATACACCCAGGCCGCATGAGTGGGTCACAGGTGGCTTTTTCAGAGGTAGCTGAATCTAGAGTGTGTGATGCTGGGATTTAGGGCGTGTGATTACTAAATCAGTTCACTGGTTGGTTTGGCACCGCCCTAATCCCGGTAGTCTGGGTAAGATAAAAGGGACAGAAAGACGCTGGTAAGTTTCCCTTGTTGCTTTTGCTACTGTGTAGGTGCCATGAACTGTTTCTCCTCTGTGATGCCCCCCATGTTGGGCACTATGCTGTATCTGAGGGAGAAAGTATTAAACATAACTATCCTTCTCCTTCTCTCATGGAGCTAGTAGTTTAGTCTTGTATAATTAGGATCATATAGAGCTAATAGTTTAGCGACCAAATACAGTAATGGGTACAATGGCACAAAAAAGTTAATTTACTTGATCTCATTGACAATGGTGTTCACTCCCATCCTCTCTTGATATTATATAATAGCTTGATGGTAATTGAGACTTAAGAATTCTGGATTGTTAGCCTGCATTGTTAGCCTGCATTTAGGAAAAAAAAAGATTGTTATCATTTCTGTATACTATATCTGTACCATGAAGGTGATGTTTACCCCAGAGTTTAGCAAGTCTAGGAAGTATGTTGTCTTAACTTTGTACTTCTCTTACCCAGACCAGTCAAAATGAATGAAAAAATGTAACACTGGGATAATTTTATTGATTTGATTTAAAGATTCTCAGCAATACTATTTGCACACCACTGCCATCTAGTGGAAAATTTATACTTTTAAAAACTGCTCTGAGCAGTCTGTTTCTAATAAAATAAGAATATGGATGTGTGTGATATTCAGAGCAGTTAATTTTTTTCTCAAAATATTGGAGAATGCTAGGGGAGCAAAATGTCTTTACAGGTGATTCATGTGAAATACTACCTGTACAAGAAAAATAAGAAATTTAATTATAAATTACTAATAATGAGTATATTTTCTTCATAGTATTTATTTTAGACATATTTGAGATATAATTTGAAATGTTCTATCAAATGCTTTTTACTATGCTCACAGAGTTGTACAAACATCATCACAATCAACTTCAGGGCATTTAAACACTCAATGACAGAACTGTCTTATTTTAGATCATCCAACATCTTTGAACATGAATTACCCATATCTAAAACATCTGAAGTATCTGAGATTCAAAAGAATAACAATTATCTCTATGTGAGTGAAGAAATATATTGGACATTTGTAGGTTAAATTTTTTCAAGGCTTTAAAATATGTAGCCTAGCCAGGCTTGGTGGTACACTCCTGTGATTCCAGCACTCTGGAAGACTGAGGCAGGAGGATCACAAGTTTGATCCCAGCTGGGCAATTTAGTTCCTTAGTGAGACCCTGTCTTGGCAAAAAAAAAAAGAGCTGAGGATGTAGCTCAGGGGGAAGGCTCTGGGGTCATTCCCAGGACTGCAAAAATAAGTCAATCAATCAAACAATTAATTTAACACACAATTATTAGAATGATAAATACTTTGATTCCACATAAATTCAGATGTCCTTTGACCTTTTTCTCCAAATCTTATGAATTTGTTTTTAAAAATGAAAGCCAAGGGGCCGGAGATGTAGTTCAGGGACAGAGTAGTTACCTAGTATTCATGAGACCCTGGGTTCACAGATATATCATGACTGATTTTTGAAATGCAAGGAGAAAATAGTCATTTTTTGTACCGTCTTCCAAAGTCTTTCAAACTATAATGTAACTACAATGATGCTTACTTAGTAACATTAGTCTTTATATGTTATATTTAATTAAAATGTTTTTTCTCTGTTAGCAAATTTTCTGTGGATTTGACCACTGATATTTATTAGTGATCGATAAGGAACTTTTAGATTTCTTTACATGGATATGGTCCACAGCTTCTATTTGTTCCATCTATAACCTATTGACTACTTTTAATGTATGTAAGGGTTTAGCTTGGTATGTTACCGGCACTCAAGAAATGATGGTCTCTTGAGTTTGCATACCTTTGAGTTTGAGAATAATATTTAGCCTCTGGTTTGTTTTTCACAGTAGACTGTCCTCGTGATTCAAACTGATGACATAAATCTTTTCAATGAGTAGCTCACAGGGCAGAACTCATAGGAACCACTTAGAGTAGCTCCATCCAACCATCTGGTGATTCTGGCTATTTAAATTAAAATAAAATTACTCTAAATTAGTTATAGTTAAAATAATTACAAAGTCAGTTACTTCATTTAATTGGACTCATTTCCAGCACTCAAAAACTATTTGCAGCTGGGCCGGGGATTTAGCTCAGTGGTTTCGCTGCCTGCTGCGAAAGCGCAAGGACCTGAGTTCAATCCCCCGTACAAAAAAACCCAAACAAACAAAAACCAAACCAAAACAAAAAACTATTTGCAGCTTTTGAAAAGAAGCCCACATAGAATATTTCCATCACAGCAGAAAGGTGTATTGGACAGCGCTGCTCTGGAGAACTAGAATATTGGGTAAAACTCCTACTTACCTAACTCACAACCTTTTCACTGTTGTATATCCAAATACCTTGACTGGTGAACAAGTTTAGAAATAATTACATTCTCTATTTCTCCGACACAGCCTTAACACTCACCTCTCACTCAAGTAACTATGTAGCCACAAGTGTCTCTCTCTCTTTTTTAAGCAAAAACATTTATTGGTAGATTTTAGATATACATAATAACAACATTTATCATAGGGAATTCCTGTTCTATTCCATTTTTTTTCTTTTTGGTGGCACTGGGGAATTTGAACCCAGGGAACTTACACAGGGGAGGCAAGCACTGTATCGCTAACCTACATCCCAGCCCTTTACATTTTCTGTTGAGATGGGGATCACTAGGTTGCTCAGGCTGGCCTTGAACTTGCCATCCTCCTGCCTCAGCCTCCTAGAGTGCTGAGATTAGAGACATGCTCCACGGTGCCCAGTTCAATTCCACTTTTGGGACCTTGCTGTCAGCTTTTATATTGTAGTACTTTATGTAACTCACTAATTTAATTTAATTTCCATAATTTAAATTTATGTAGAATATTGGATAAACCAATATTATGTAAAATTAATGTACTTTGCATCTTGCTCCCCTAGATTGTAACTCATGGAGAACTGGGGTAGGGAGTTTTGATGTTTCTACTCCCAACTTTCTTGGCACAGTGTCTCGCCCATAGCAGTGAATGCTCATTTTCTTGATGTGGCTTGATTCCTGTCAGCAAATGCTCTTGGATCATTCTTAAAACATGGCGTTACTATTTCAAGAAAGATCTTTTAGCCCTGTGAATACACATACATAATTTAACTTTTGGTTATGAAAAGGTTGAAACGAAAAAATCTAGTCTTACTGCTCGAAGGTCACTAGCTTTGTTGCAGAAGACTGGAGCTGGTTGTGGCTGTCCTGTAGGTGCCAGGCTCTAGGCCCCGCGAGAATTGAGATCTCGCGGGATCTTGGGCCCAATCAGGAGCTCTGGCGGTTAGGCTGTGTCCTCCACCCTGAAGCACTGTGCTTGGCGGGGCTTGAGGCACTCAGCATTGAGCCCCCGCCCTGGGACTGCCTGCTTCAAACCTGGGGTGAGGGCGTTCGCCTGGCAGCGGCCGAGGGAGGCAGAGGACAGCACTGCTGGCCCTTGCTAGGAGTGGGCCTGGCTGGGAGAGGGTGAGCCCGACAGCCGTGAGATCTGATCGCTCATTATGCCCCATGCAATTCGGGCCTGGGTCCGCTCAGAAGGAAGCGCCCAGCTGTCAGGCCTGTTGGAGGCTTCCACAGTAGGCAACAGAAAATGACACTGTTATAGACATTCCTCGTTTAATGACTGAGTTACTAACCGGCGACTAGGTTGTTAAATGAATTGGTCGCTAAATGAGGAATTATATATAGTATGTACAATATTCAGAACAAAGAAATGGTCAAAGGAAACTCCAGTTTGATGACTTTGCTTTTATTTGCATAACTCTTACATGCAGAGGTATGATGTATAGCGAACATAAAACTATAGTACCGTACTACTGTACAGTGCAATCAGCAAAAATTACAGTACCGTATAAACATTGTGTACAAAAAAAGACATTGAGGTTCTATAAACAAGATGTACAGAACTGTACCAAAAAAAAAAAATCAAGCTAGCATTTTAGTCATCAAATCCTTCAAAGTCCTCATCAGTGTCATCATTGAGATTATGATCAGGAGATGTAGAAGGCTGAGGTAAGCAAGATGATGAGAGAAATGGAAGAACTAGTAGTAGGAGCCCTTGGTGTAGATCTTTTAGAAGAATCTTGTTAGTGTGGTCTGTTTTGTCTTTTTCTTTTTTTTGCCTCATAAACATGATGGCATCATAAAAGTTCACTCATTTGCTGTGCTACTTTTGTGAACATTCCACATTTGGATCCATAGCCACTAGTTCTAACATGGCTGCACTTACATTTGAGAAGACACCTGCTAATCCCTTCACAATGAACTTCTTTGGTACTTCAGTTCTTTCCTCTTCTTCCTCCTCTTCTTGTAAATGTTACTGTGCTTCCAACTCTATTAAATCTTCTATACTTAGCTCTTCCTCAGTATATTCCACTAATCCTTCAAAATCTTGCTCTTCAACCTCCAAACTAAGCATGTTAGCAAGTTCCACAGTTGTTTTAATAATGAGATTGACATGTTCATGTTTGTTGAATGCTTCTGAATTATGCACAAAATGTTTTAGGTATTTTTCCATATGTCTTGCATACACTTTTCTGTCACTCCTTCCTAAGCAGATTCAATGTTCTTAATGCAGTCTAAAATGTTGCATGATTTCCAAAAATCACCAAAGGATTACTTCATTATTTTCTGTTGCTGCTATAGCTTTGCAAAAAGCTGTGCACAAATAGTATGCTTTGAAGGTAGGTATAATCCCCTGATCCATGGGCTGTTAAGACAGCAGCTGTGTTTTTAGGCAGATACATTAACTTTACATCTGGGTGTAGATAATCAGGATGCTGGGGTGGCCTGGAGCATTATCAAGCAGGAGGATAATTTTTAAGGGAATACCCTTTTCCTGACAGTAAAACTTCACTGAGGGTGTAAAGCAGTTGATGAACCAGTCTTCAAATAAAGCTTGTGTCAAATAAATGCCTTGTTATTTGCTCGATAGTAAACAGGCAGCGTGTGCTTACTAATCCATTTCAGTGAACATGGGTTTTTGGAATGACAGATGATGAAAGGCTTCAATTTGAACCCAGCAACATTTCCTTCCAATAACAATGTGACTACCAGGCATTGTTTTAGCTTCTTTGTGAGGAGGACTTTTCAGGCATTTTCTTTGACAAAAGTCTGGTTTCATCCACAATGAAGATTTGTTCTGGACAGTAGTCGCCTTTCTCTGTGATTTTATCAAACTGGTCAAGACATTTTTCTGCTGCTTCTACATCTGTACTTGCCACATCACTGCTGACATTTTGATTGTGCAGGTTGAATCTCCGATAAAACCACTGAAACCATCCATGACTTGTAAAAGTTTCCATCGATTCTTCACCTTCATGTGGCTTCAAAGTCTTGAAGATACTGAGTGCTTTGGCTTGAATTACTGAAAGACTCACTGGCATTTTTTTGTACATGGTCATCAAACCAGATTGACAGTAATTTTTCCATATCATGAATGAAGCCTTTCCACTGCCTAGTTATTATGTTTTTAAAACCTGTTGATGGGGCCGGGGATTTAGCTCAACGGTTCCACCACCAGCCTCGCAAGCGCAAGGTCCCGAGTTTGATCACTGGTACAAAAAACAACAACAACAGCAAACAAACAAATGAAAACCTGTTGATGTTTTTTCACTGAGTCTTTCACTCTGTCTTTATCTTTCAGGATTGTTGAAATGGTTGAATGAGCCAGATTCAAGTCCTGTGCTATTGTTTTACTATGTTTTTTACTAGCTTCATAGTTTATGATCTTTATTTTCATGTCAAGATAAATGACTTTCCTTTCTCCTGGTGAACTCACGCTTTTCCATTCTGATGACATCTCATACTAAGGATTACATAATAAAGTAAAATCCACAATACCTCTGTTCAAGAAAAAGGAGTACTGTACATTGCCACACTACAATTACCACTGAGTGGACATCAGAAAAAAACAGCAAAGGCTAGGGTGGCTGGAATAGCTGGCACACCATGCATATACTGTACAGCATAGTACTGCACAGTAGTGTTGCAAATATATAGTACTGTCCATATAGTACTGTGGGCAGTAGAGTATACTCACTGAGCAGTCTGTGGGGTTTTTGAACATAGAATCAAATACAGAAGTAAAAGAAGCCACCATAATGCTGAACTTTCACTCACATTCTGCATTGTGAGTCCAAATATGGGTCATAAGTCTGAGCAGTGTTTAGTAAGTCTGAAAAGTGCACCTCCATCCTAAATCAGAACATTTGTTAAAACAGGTAGGTCACTGAAGGAGGAATATCTGTATTTGAAAAGTCCTCATGACATAAAAATCAGGATGCTTATAGGAGATAGATTGGTAATTAGAGCGGCACACAATAAGCTGGAAGATTCAATAGTTCTTGGAATCAGTTCCAGATTTGAATGACTACTTTGTACATCAGCCTCCACTTGACTTAACAAAGGGGGACAGCACAGCACGTATATAACAATATTCCAATATAAAAAGGGACTTCATTGCCCAGAAGAAACAATCAACTGTCCCTTAGATCATGAAAGACACAATTTCCCAAGCAGGACATTATAAACTTTGTCACACATTACTCTGTACAAGTGGTTCTTGGCCTGACTACTGTTTAGAATCCCCCAGAGACAGTTAACACAAAACAACAAAACCTAATAGACTTTATCCCCCACCACTAAAAAAATTCTTGATCCTGGGTATAATAGGTCTGACATGCATCTAGGATTGAGGAGCTGTGTCCTAGGGAATCAAAGCAATCAAAAAGATAAAGTTAAGATACAAAACTCCTATTACGGAGACATTTGCCTTTTTTAATTATTCTAAAGCATGTGAGATGTACTGGAACTGAGCAGGCGATTTTCTCCTAACCCAAACACATCAGGAGCAGAATTCAGTCTGGGGAACTACAAAGCTGTTTCCCCCAATATGTCTCTGTGATCTATTCTCTGGTCAATTGGTTCTTTTTATTAAAACAACCGAAAAGGGTCATTGGTGTTTCTCCTAGATCTTTGCCAGGTAAGAATAATAATTTTATAATTATAACAGTCATCCTATTCCATGTTTCAAGGTAGAATATGCTATTTATGATTTATGATTTTGCAGCCTGGAATGGCTAATAACAGCTTACTATGCTTACCTACACATAATTTTATATGGAGTTTCACTGGGTTCACAAACTAAGTGCAATTCCATGAAGGTTTACAGGCTCCAGGTTAAGAACATTTGTTTTATAGACTTCACCAGTTATTGGTAGAAAGTGAGAGAGGAGGAAACGAAAGAAGGGCAGTAATTGATGGTAGACATTCAGCAGTTAGGACCTGGAAACTCCAATAGTACCGTATACTATCCTTGTCCTGAGTGTACATAAGAATCGCTTGCAATCTTGTTAACCTGCAGATTCTGATTCAGTAGGTCTGCAGTGGGCCTGAGATTCTGCATTTCTAAGTAGCTGTTCATCCGCAGATCTGACTTTGGATTGCAAAGTACTTGAAAGTATGTTATCAATGTTACTGGCTTTTCCTAGTACATTAAGCACACAAATGTATAAGTGTTGTATTATTGGATAGCTTCTTTAGAAATGGCTTATCAATCAAAAGTATTCCAGGTCTTTCTTGCCTTGAACAAAGAGCTGGATGAGATGGGCCAACTACGGTGTCAAATGTTTATTTGAAAAGTGCTGGGTGAGTGAGTATGGAGGAAATCAGCTCTGCAGAGAGAATTTAAGTCGAACAAAGAGAAAAAGAGGGTAAAAACAAAAATAAAAGTGCACACTGTGTCTGAGAAATGCAGTGCAGGCTATCATGGGCACTCATGATAGCAGCTCCCTGTGGTATGTGGACTTCTATGCCATACACATCTTCAGCTCTTGAGAAGGTCTACATACGGGGCCCTGCTGTTGCCCAGAGATCTTATAATTGACAGTTTCTGCTCCTTTTCCCAGCCAGCTTTGCCATGCCCTATCTCCTATATCACAAGCATTTCTACTTTTCTTGAAAACCTAATACTCTATATAACGTTTGCTAGTTCTTCTAACACAAAGGATAAGGAAGATGGCAAACTTAATTCTTTATTTTCAATGGTCTCAGAACTCCAATTGTTACAATGATGTTTCTTTTCAGGGAACCAAACATTATCAATTCAATGAAAGTAATGTTTTTAATCCTAAAAAAGAACAACAACAAAGAAAATGAAACCAAAATTTCCCCTGGGTGATGTTCAGGAAGAAAAGAAATTCCATTATGTAGTACAATGTGAT